CGATTTGGAATTTTTCCTCTTAAAACAAGAAAGCTTTGGAAAATCTTCCCAAGACTGGCGAATTAAAAAATTATGGATGAAAATGTACTGTGTTACTATATCGACATGTGTCTCTATATATTTGCATAGATGTTCAAATATTTACATGCACTCAGTGATTTGCAATACTTAAGTCGGTTCAGGGTCAAATAAAAAGAACCGAGGAAGATAGACTTGCGACAAGCATGCAATTAGAGAGCGCCAGTCTACTCTGAGAGCTTTTGAAATCTTGACTTTTATCTGGGATCAAACAGCAAACGTCGGCGCCGAAAACAGATTCAAAAGAACCTCGATCTCCGTAAGGCCATTACGATTCATCTACAGATAAAAGCCTGAACGTTAGTAGGATAACAAAAGCGGAGAAATCAGAAGAAATGGAACATCTTTTTATTGACAGCGCATTTCGCCTTCGTTAATTAGGCGTCTTCAGAACAGAATGAAAGAAAAATTGGTGTTTTTATTTTATTATATATATATATATATATATATATATATAAGAGAGAGAGAGAGAGAGAGAGAGAGAGAGATTGATATATATATATATATATATATATATATATATATATATATATATATATATTTTCCAGGACAGAGTAAGAATATAAAAAAGGCTTAAACACTAATATTCCATGGTTATAATTTATTACATTGGAATCGTAATTACGATCCAATTTCATCAGATCTACAAATACACTCAAACATATATATATAAAACAAAAACAGATTTTTCTTTCAACATATATGTAAACAAATTTTACATTCTGTATATGTAAGAATTTCAGATATAACTACAATATATCAGACAAAGAACAATATGAATAAAGAGACAAAAAAAACTTATCTTAGTCGATGCGTTTCGTCCTCTGATAGATTTTATCAGAGGAAATGTGATCACTTTATTTTGCGAATGATATTTATAAACATAAGTAAAACTGCTGTTAGGTTTACAAAATATTTAAGTTTAAAAGACGGTCATAAATTTGTAGCGTTGTTAATAAATATTGTCGCAAAATAAAATCTCCACATTGGCCTTGATAAAGTCCGACAGAGAATGAAATGCTTCGTTTAAAATAAGTTTTCCATTTCTCTTTATATATATATATATATATATATATATATATATATATATATATATATATATATATATATATTTTTCGAACAACTGTTTATGAATGAAAAGATCCTTTTCATTCATAAACAGGTTCGGGTTTTTTATATTATTTGAATTGTTCGACGATGGATTTTCTCGCCAATTAAATCATTAACCTTTTGTATTTGTTTTTGTATGAATATATATATATATATATATATATATATATATATATATATATATATATATATATATATATATATATATAATAATAAACACATGCACAAACACACACATATATATATATATATATATATATATATATATATATATATATATATATATATGTATATATATGAAGAAATATACTCTTAAGATGTGCTATATTTATGGGATAAAGTGGTCAATATCAAAGATAGAGCATTTGTAAATATAAAAGTGAACATAGATGTCACTACTTAGAGGCGACAGTCTGTTTTCTGCTAGATGCAATCGTCATGCCACGATTGCATCTAGCATAAAATAGACTGTCGCCTCTAAGTGGTGACTTTAAGTTCACTTTTATATTTATATATATATATATATATATATATATATATATATATATATATATATATATATATATATATATGTGTGTGTGTTTGTGTGTGCGTGTGTGTATAAATGCTAAAGAAAAATTAACTATGTTGGTGTGTCTAACAGACGACTTGCCAGAGTTCTTAACACCGTAGACCAGAAGAAATCCCGAATAGAAAAAAAATCATGAATGGAAGAACAAAAGGGGAACATCTATGTCCTTAGTAAAGTTCTCAACGTCCAGATTGCCTAGACAGTGCAAAAAAGGCTTCACAACGTCAACTTTTATTGGCGTTCTCGTGATCTAATGATTGCGAGGGTGTGTCTTTTGTTAAAGGTTGACGTTGGGAAGCGTTTTTTGCCCTGTCTAGGCAATCTGGACGTTGAGAACTTTACTAAGGACATAGATGTTTCCCTTTTGTTCTTTCATGTAAATAAAACTGCTCTTAAATTTACACATTGCATCCTGAAAGCCTATGATAATATCAGAAGGAAGACAGATGAAATTTCTATCTGGGCATAATGAGGAAGAGGACTTGGAAAACTTGAAAATCACTGGATATACAGAAGACAAGAAGGACAGAGGAAAACAGCACGAAAAAGAAGAATAAGAATAGGTTCAAGCACGGATTGCGTAAGATTTTTAAAGTTTGAAAATGTGAGACTTATACTCATTGAAGTCGTTTCTAATATTTCGCTAACATTGTTGACAATAAGTTAATGGAAATTTTTAAGTAAATTCCTCATATGAATGCCTAAAGTTAGAGACACTTACAGTGATAAATTAAAAACAAATAGACAAAAATTCAAACTATGAATTAGTTCTGAGTGTTACTTTCTAATTAAATCTAAGAATCCATGTATCTGTCTACAAACATATAGATTTGCACTTAAAATAGACTTTGATGTATACGCGTTTCCCTCAGAGTGTACCTCATTTTGCCTTCGATAGTACCATTGGGGATACATTTTAATATATAATATATTTTAATATATATATATATATATATATATATATATATATATATATCTGTGTGTGCACGCACGTGTGGGCGTGTGTGCTTGTATTTGTGTATCTTAACGTATATGTTTGTGTGTGTGTGTAAAATGTCTTTAGATGAATAATATTAAATTGTATATGTACGTATGTATGTATATATATATATAATAGATAAAAGAAGAAATTCAGTTTATGTTAGTGAATAATTTCCCGGAAGAAATTAAGATCACTTCGAAAATAAATGAATTTACTTAAAAATCAGACATTACATCTTACATATTTGCATATTCATTCCAGGCAGGAATGAAATTTGGTAGAAAGCAATAATTGTGTTATATTCACTTGTATACATACGCCCCCCCACACCCCCCACGCACACACACACACACACACACACACACACACACACACACACACACACACACACACACTGACTTTGTCCTGTCAGTAAGTCTTGCATTAATTACTGACCACTGACAATGCTTTTCATCATGTGACTTTTTTATTTTCTTGAATTTTTCCTTTACTTTTCAAATACTTTCGGGATGAAGGTAATTATGTCTCGCCACAGCTTCCTGTCATTTCTTAGTGCAAGCAATTTCTTACTCTCTACCATCCTATCTTGTTCTGCAATCAATTTAAATAATTTCACCAAGAGGGTTGCTTGTTATTCCCAGGTACTTCTATTGCTTCCATGTCAAATGAGTGGAAACAAAATCTATGGGATCTACCCGACTCGGAAATAACAGTATGTGTGTTAGGGTTAGTATAATGCAGAATGTATACCGGTACGTGTGTGGGGGGTGTAAGTGTGCATATTGCCTTGTTAAAATCCCTCAGAGGACGAAACGCGTCGGCTAAGATAAGATTTCCTTCTTTATATATATATATATATATATATATATATATATAAAGGAACAATGTAATGATCTTGTACCCCACGAATCTATGATGTCCTCCCCCCACCCCGAATCTAAATTTCATTGACTACTTTTGCATTGAGACCTGTTTTGAATTAATGTTTTGAACTCTGAAATCTTACTCTTCGTTCGTTTTTACATTTTATATATATATATATATATATATATATATATATATATATATATATATATATATATATATATATATTCAAATAAAAGTATCATTATTTCATAGCGCCATTTTTTTTACAGTAGTGAGTAATCCTTTTATTTCTTTTCCTGTTCCGATGTTTGCTTGATACTCTTCTCAGATTCTTTTTGCAAAAACAGATAAATATCCAAAACTAGAACGATTATTATAGGGTTGGTTGCCATTGAAATCCGTGCATAATTATTTTTAGCTATAAATTGAAACTGGACCATTATTTTAGATTGATTCATATTTCGTTTTCATTTCAGGGACCAAATATGATGACGTATTTATTATTCTAAATAACCGTTCATTAAATACATCATAACAAGCGATGAAAAATGAGTAGCATACAACAATGTTTTATGCAAAAGACTGGATTGATAAGGATAAATTGCCACAATTGACCTCAAGCTCCGTAGTAGAAAATAATGATGTGTGGTGGCATTGTCGGGGTATTATTGATTTAGATACCTTAAAACGCAATGTCACACTTAATGCACATTCATACGTTCAGGAGCTTCAATGTATCCTTAAAGTTTTGGTCTAAAACATCCCTCCGATAGTCAACATAAAAAAATGTTGGTCTCTTCCATAACAACGCAAGTCGGTATTCAACAAGTGTTACAGTGGAAAAAGCACTCATGGAACTTGGTTGGTCGCTTCTGATACCGCCTCTAGCAATATTCACCTGACCATGCACGAACCGCTTATTACATTTGTAGAACGTTACAAAACGCATTGAAAATCTTTTTCTAATTAAATCCTGCGTAATTTTACTCAAAAGTTTTCGAAGAGCTGACTTACCATTGCAAATAATGGTGTTTATTTAATTGAATAAAATGTAGTTTTAATTTAATTTTTGAAAAATAAAGTTAAAAAAGGAAAACGGAAATTATTTATGACTCAAACTAATAATAGAATTTTTTTTTTTTTTTTTTTTATACATTTTTCAAAGATGTTTGGATTGTAAGTATATTTTTTGCGATTGAATATTATATTAAAATAATCTTCAGAGAAAAGTTCTACTATTTACCCGATAAGTCGGGTGGAGAAGAGGTGGATGCATACAATTCATCAAGTGTATTTGCACGTGAGTGAATGTAAATAATCCGACTGTAATTCGAACTGAACTCGGTTCTCCGATTTCACATTCCGAGCCGCTATCCATTCGGACATCCAAGCTTACAGAATCTGGTAGTCCCAAGAGGTCACCCTTCTAGGTACTCGCCAGGCATGATGTTCCTTAACTACGGTGATTGGACGGGAACCGATGTTTCACCGTGATATGGTAAGTTTTAATAATTAATTTAAGTGACAGCAAGTCATTTAAATACGGTACCAGGCTTTTTCAGGATCCAATCTTGTGGATAGTTTCGATTCTTCCTCCAATTCCTCTTGCATAAAATCATTTTGCGCGTTACTTTGCAAATGTCCCACGCGAGTCATTGATGATAAACAAAATTCTTTTAGTTTCATGCTCCACATAATCATCAATTTTTTTTCTTCCTTTTTTTTTTTCATAAGTTTTGAAGTTTGTTAAAAGTTTTCATTGCTGCTTCTGTTTTACTCTATTTGTCTGGGAAAAAAATTCCGTTTAATATCGAGCAATTTTCTTCGAGTAATTATAAAGACAAACTGTGAGTTAGTTCTTAATGGAAATTTCTTTTGAATCTAAAAGGCTCAACGTTGTACTATGTGTGTTTTTCTTTTTAATCGCTATCGCCTTTTCTGTCTTATGGCTATTTATAAGGTGTTCTGCGATGAAAGACACATACGTATTGGTCAGAATGTCCGAGCTGTTAGTTTTAGTGCTGTTAGTTTTAGTGCTGACGCTTTTACCATCCTTAGCAAGTCCCACTCAAATTACCACCTAAAAGTGTTGGAGACCATCTATATTCTATCTTTAAAGCCTTCTCTTTGTAAACAGAAAGACTTTATATTAAGCCTCCAACCAATTAAAATTTAAATGTCCCCCACCCATAAACT